TGTGTGTGTGTGTGTGTGTGTGTGTGTGTGTGTGTGTGTGTGTGTGACCCATACTTAGCCTTCAAAGGCAGTAAAATATGTCTCTCAGCTCTGGAGATGGGAGGAATTCAGCTCATAAGTTTGGTCTATTCCTTTTTTGTGCATGTAACTCAGATTTCTTCTCAATGTTTCAGTTACGAATTCATAGTTACACCAAAGAATGAGCTCGGAACCGGAACCTCCACTGATCCCGTGACTTTTAGCACAGAATCAGGCAAGTTGAACAAACTGAAGCATCTTATCCACTGTACATTATGTGTTGGTTATTATCAGGCAGCTATTCGCTTCACTTTGAATCTCAAAGGGTGGGCTGTTAGGCAGTTGTTAGTCTAATGATTTCAATGTGACACTGAGGTGCGACTGATTAGACTCTCGGGTGTTGTCAGCTCGCCAGATGTCCTGATTTCTTACCGAATAATCTTTTACCTGGAGGATCAGAGCGAGAGTTAGATTTGCAGCAGTCATAAAAACAGCTGAACTGTGGCCCTAAGTTGATGAAAAGTGTTTGAACTCACAATGACAACACACAGACACAGGAAAGCTTTGCTGAAATTGGCCTCTTGCCCTCCTGCAATCAAAGCCCACACTTTTGGATCGGAGCTGTACTGTGGCAAATCAGCTCCGATACAAGTTTGGCTTCGTCTCGCACAATAAGTCAAGATGTTTCATGTTTGTTTTGAGAGTTTTTCATTGGAACTTTCTCTCATGTCTGCAGCTGATCCACGAGTGAGTGAATATGTTGCAGGTGAATATTCTATTTTTTGTTATTATTCATCTGTTGCTGGAAAGTTAAGCAGTTTAATATGTTGATCCTTTTCTATTTCATGTCTTACACAGTTAATGTGCAGTATATGAAGCATTTACTTTGAATGATTTCCTCACAGGCAAAGACGCCATCTGGACTCAGTTCCCATTTAAAGCCGACGACTACTCTGAATGCAACGGGAAGCAGTATGTGAAGAGAACCTGGTACCGGAAGTTTGTAGGGATCCAGCTCTGCAACTCGCTGAGATACAAAATCTACCTGAGCGACTCGCTCAATGGTAATTACACTGGAACTGAACCCAGCAGCTGCTCAGGATCCTCAGAGGCAAATCACAAATAACTTTGAAAAACATTGCATCTGTAAAACTCTTTGAAAGATTAAAAAGTGACCTAATCCAGTGAGGAATATGACAAAACAATTATTTACATCTTTCAGCTGTTCAGCAAGTTCTCGTCTAAAATTGTATCTGTTTATAAATGAATTTTCAGTTATATTACCTTGATGCTTAACGCTGGGTAAACCACGGTTAAATTTGAAGAGAAATGAACTGATATTTTTCTTTTTTAAAGCCAAATACTTTAGTTCCTATGTCCTCCATCTCTTTAGGTAAGTTCTACAACATTGGAGATCAGACAGGACACGGTGAGGACCATTGCCAGTTCGTCGACTCCTTCCTGGACGGACGGACCGGCACCCAGATGTTTGCTGACCAGCTACCAAGCAGGCCAGGTATTTTGGTTTTCACCAATCAGTAATGTGATCATGTCAGTGATGTTATGTAGGTTGAAAGTGTTTCTAGAGAAAATATATATAGTATAATGTGGTAACATAATATACTTGTACAACACAAAATGGGCAAACTTGTACATACTTCTTATTTTCTTACTAACTTCTATTCATAGTTCATATTTCTATTTATTATAATTCTTGGTCTGTTTATATCTTTATTCCCAATCACAAGTATTTCTGATTCTAATGAAGACGTCAACATCTCAATGAGACTTCCTTTTTTTAATAAAGGACAGAAAATAAAGAGACGGTCATCCTCTCTCTCTCTGTCTTTGTACCAGGGTTCTACCGAGCACTGAGACAGGAACCTGTCCACTTTGGAGAGATTGGAGGAAAGTCACACGTTACCTACGTGGGCTGGTACGAGTGTGGCACACCTATTCCTGGGAAGTGGTAAGATCCCACAGGGCTGGTCTGGAGGATGGCTCCCTAGCTTCCAGGAAGAAGACGACAAGCTTTTCTTTAATGTTACCATGGACACTGTCAGTCTGAACTCGGCCTACTCTCCCAGGTGTGAACCTCTATAGAACTATCATGAGAACTCTGTCCCGTGCATTTGTAACATTGGTCTTAATTTCTCTATTTATCAAAAAATGTCACGATGGACAAAAGAGTGCAGGAGTGTAAGTGAACCAAAATGTTGAATATACAGTAATCGCAGAAACTATTGGGAAGCTGGCTCCCAGAGTGTAATAACGTGTATGATATTATTTATCAAGGGTTTGTTATTGAATATTCTGTGTGCTTGGGCGTTTGAGATAAGAAAGTAAACGTTGTTCCCAGTACTTGCATGTCAGTGAGCACACACATACGTCATTTGTACACAGATACCAAATCATACTTTTCGTTGTACATTTGGACTGTGTAAAGTACAAGTATACACAGACATGCAGAATCGACCTTCTGCTGGCCCTAAGGGATTATTAGCAGTTGCAGTTTGCACAGTATTAAACTTTTGTTCATATATGTATATGATGTCAAGTACAGTTTGTAAACCAGTGATCACAGAAACATTTCAGGTAAAAGATAAAACAGTTTTAGCCGAATTGTTGATCTGTTTGTAAGAAAACCAACGTTTGAGTTTCTGTGGAGTCACTTGAAAACAAAAGCATTTGTATTTTTTTATGCCCGTGCAGTCCTGTATTGTAGAATAAAATAAAGAATAAAATATATATATATGTTTGTAAAAATAGAAATAAACTGAGCTTCAATGACATAATTTATGCTTTTGTGTTCAAATCATTGGAGAGAACTTGAGGGTTTTTCCACATCTGTCATGTTGGCAGTTGTTTTTGATGGACCATTTATGTTTCCAGCAATAAATCATGTTTTTATATATACTGATACTTATTTCCATTTGACTTTGGTGCTTTTATGGTAATGGAAAAGTTTAAATTTTTTTTAAAGAACAATTTAAGACTTTATACCTACATTTGCCTTCTTGCCAAGAGATGTGATGATCAAAACTGCTGCTCTTGATTAAAATGACATTAAATTGAGGAGGCAAAACTGTTTGCACCTCAGTTATTCCGTCAGTGCCTCATCCAAGGTTATGTTTTCGCTTGTCAGTGGATTTCAAAACATATCATAAATATTGTGAATAAGAATATTTATTTGTTTCATATTTTTTTACCCTTTTCTTGGGGAATAATTCATGGATCTTGAAAATAATCAGACATATTATTTATAAGGGACTGATTTCTATGTGAAATCTGGTGCAGCTTGATTGGATTTAAGGGACTGTTTGGCTTTGGTGGAGGTATGTGGCATGTTAGTAGGTTTGTCAGCAGTTGTTTGAAACTTAATGGAATTTTGGTGTGAATCTTTCTTTCTTGAACATTTTGAGATGGACATTTTTGAGCATTTTCACAGATTTACCAGGGAATATTTAATGAATCCTGATGAAAACAACCAGGCACGTTTAGGGGACTAATAATCATGTGTGTGTACAATTTGGTGCAAATCCAAGAAAAAATGTATATCTGGGGAATTTAAATGTGGTTTCAAAATCGTTGGAGGTATGTGCTCTTCTGAGTGCCTTTCTAGTTTAAAGTTTGAAGTACCGGTTGGTTTTCAGGGAAATAAGTTACGTGTGGGGGGGCCTTTGGAGGTTAATCCAACTATATGCACAAGCAAAAGCACTGTTTGTTTTGGTTCTCAATACAAAATCGATCTGCACTGAATGAAACATTGGAAAATTTATCAGATTCAGAAGCCAGACTTGATAAATCCCTAACTTTGTGCTAACTGTGTCAATATTGCAGGAGAATTTATATTGGACGGACCGATCTCAAAAAAATGATTTCAATTGGCACAGACTCAGTGGAGATTAGCTGAACAGCCGTTTCTTAATTGTCTTAAATAAACCATGTGCATGTAGTTCATTGCTCTCAGTGCGACGACAAGCAAGACCAACCACATGCTCCCCGTGCCTCATGTCCCAGTCCACCACAACCCACAGGCAAAAAAAAACTAAACAGGAACACCACCGTTACCACAGTTTTCCAAATTCACGTCGAGTAGAGGGAAGAGAGAAGCCAAACTTGACAGAAGCATGTGCCATGTGAAGCAAGAGAGTTTTAAGAGAGAGAGAGAGAGAGAGAGAGAGAGAGAGAGAGAGAGAGACGATGGTGCCAAGTGCAACACAAAATAAAAAGATAAAAAAAAGAAAAACAAAACAAACTTACTCCGGCTGGGTCTCAATCATTTATTAGGTTCAAGAAAAAAATGTTACAGTTCATACATAAACAACTAATCTCATTTGAAGGTGAAATTTGATTTGATATATTAGTAAAAACCAGTGATCAGAGAAACAAAAGAGGAATAACAAGCTTTTTTTGAAGGTGATATAACGAGCTAGAACAAAAGAAGCCTTCTTCATTACACTGGGATCTACACCTCCCACAAGCCATCACTTAGCTGGTGTTCCCAACACGGGGCAGAGTTGTGAACACATCATTAATACCGACATGGTGGTAAAATTGATGAAATAAACACAAGAGAAGAAAACGACAAAGGGGTAACTTTTCATTTAGTGTCTTATAAATGCATCTAAGCAACGTTAACTCAACACAAGCGGTTGAGATGTTTGTCACTGACATGTGAATGCAGAAATGTTGCTCGCAAAAAAAGTGTTACCATGAAAAGAAGGACAAACTGTGCAACAGCCTGTTTTGGTCTCCCAGGTGTGTGCATACAAGACTGTGTTACAACGACAGGGACGAGAGGGCAGAGCAGAGGGTGGTGGTGTTTGGGGAAAATAACGGGGAAACACGGCAGGGTCAGAATACAGTGGTATGTTGAAGAGACAAACACTAAGCATCAGACTGGAGCAAAGGAGGGGAGGGGGGTTGCTTGTTTCATATTTGGACTTGATATTTGTACGAGAAGGGGAATATAGAGCAGTCAACCACGTTTCCTGCACCCACTCAGAACAGCTGGAGCCACACAGAGGGTAGGGGGTTTGGGGTGTGTGTGAGGATCAGTAACATCAGCTGTCCTCTTTTACCGGTACCCTGGGCCTGGCTGAGTGTAGCTCTGGCCGTAAGTGGGGCGGTTGCGGGCGTACGGGTTAGCAGCTCCTGGTGGAGGGGTGACAGTGGTGCCTGGAGGTGCGGTGTATCCCTGGCGGGGCTGGTACCCGGGGCTGGGCTGGGAGCCGGGCGGCAGGCTGTAGTTAGCAGGCTGGGAGGCCTGGGCAGTATAGTTTTGGGGAGGGAAGGCTCCTGGTGGATACTGCTGGCCTCCCTGAGGTGGATGGGGCTGCTGTTGGCCACCTTGGAAGCCTGGAGCTGGGGCGGGGGCTGGGGCTGGGCCAGGGGCGGGAGCCTGGGAGGAGGGAGGGGCGTAGTTCTGAAACTGCTGCTGCTGTGGCGGGCCGGGCTGAGGGGCTCCGGGCTGAGGGCTATATCCTGCTGAGAAAGGAAGGAAGTCTCTTTAATTCCCTCTGAGAGAGAAGGTGACTAACTTCACAACACAGAAGCTACCTTTTTAAAGACACCCGAGAGTCTTTGAAAAACCATTTTCAGTCTTACCAGGGTACTGCATACCATACTGCTGCTGCGGGGGGGCACCTGGTTGCTGGTATCCACCTGGAGCCTGGTACTGTTGATACACCTGACCTGAAGAAACAAGGATCAACAAGATCAGAACATTAGAACCCAAAAAAGAATTAAGATTTTTACTTTCCATTACGTTCCTTCTCACCACTGTTTGTTGGTTGGTTTGTACACAAAGTCCACCGCACGGACTACCACCACACTTGCTGGAATAATGCAAGTGCCCCTAAAGCTGTGTTATTAATATATTTAAAAAAAAACTACACCAGAAGAATAACCTTCAGTTTACCATTCCATTGTAATTAACATTTATCAATCAATATCTAGTTAGCTTAAAACAACAAAACAATCTGTACATAAATCAGACATGAATCCCATTCATGGAGTTTTAAGGTCTTTACAGGCTCTCGCACTGATTACACTGACCAGTGATCGGATAAATGCCACAAAGCCTCAAAGTTCTTTGTGTGTAATTTTGAGTGTTGAAATCTGGAGCAGCTTTTTGACTTTAATTCTAGAGGCTACCTCCACAGACCACATACTGACAGAGTTTATAGTTGGAGGAATAAATACTGGGTGAAATGGGGTAATTACATCCATCTCTCCAAGACAACATCTGGAAGGAATTTAAGAGCAAATTCTTTTTGAATGCTTTTTGGTTGCATGTACACTTTTCTTTTGAATAACACATACCTAAGTAGTACACCAAGACATACAGTGACTAAGTGTTAAGTGGGGTCTGTGTTTCATGGAAACACCTGTGCATCTGGAACAAATAACACACAACTACTTCGATCGAGACAGATGCAACCAAAGTTTCCAAAGTTTGGTGCCCACAAATCCTGGTGGCATGTTACTAGCTCAGAGCCACAGAGCAGCGTGCAGGTGACACAGCAGATGTAAAGACACACAAACAAACAAGAGAAAGAGGTAAGCCCCCTACAATATGGCTGACGCATGCATCCACGAGTTAGGTGCTTCAAACAGACACATTTTAATGGCACTGGGCAAATGTTCCTGCATCAGGGCAAAAGCTACACTCCTGCAGGCAGTGAGTCTTACTATGATTTAACCGGTCCACCACACTGCCATGTGCACAAGTGGACAGCCATCATCAAATCTACTATAACATCTCAGTGATGACAGATTTCTTCAAAAGGCCTGAGTATCCAAGGAACCTGAAGCATCAAGTTAAACATATCAACCACATCTGAATAGTGCGTCTATGATCATTACTCTTTTGCTTGACAGTGATGCAAGTTTAAAAAAACATGGAAAATTACATTCCCAATTATTTTAATTTGCTCATTACATTTTCCACTGAATGCCTGCATGCTCAGCAAACATGCAAAGACTTGGCAAACTAGTGTTCTCTCTGAACAAGGCCTAAATCTTACTCCAAAATCTTCTGGCTGGCATTTAAACCTGGAGTGGCGACACATGAAAAGAGAGTGGGCACAACAAAAGACGGCTGCACCGGGGGTTCATCGATTTTTCAAATGCTGGTAAAACTGGTGCTGATTTTCCAGTCTTTAGGGAGAGTTGATGCTGTGGCAGCGTTATGTTCATGAGAGTCCAAAACGGTGCAAAGTTAAAAGGAGACTAAGAACTATTAAATTATTCTGTCCTGTCAGAGATCATCAATATACTCTCCAATTGAAGAAAATCCTCATTTTGTATCCAATGGTTCATAATTCAAACCATTCAATGCAGAGCATAGAGTTCAAGAAAGTACACTTTACATTGGCACATTTGAATAAGTATACACAAGTGAGCCAAAACATTACGATCACGCACGAGATAATCAACGTTATTTACTTCATCTGCAAGAACAGCTCATGTCAAACTCTGGGATACATTAGATGGTAAGAGAACAGCCGGCTCTCGTGGTAAATGTGTTGGCTAATGTAGAAATGGGCAGATACAAAGACCTGAGCTAATTTGAGAAAAGTCAAATGATTATGACCAACACGATAAAGCTCATGAGTCACTAGCGTCAATAGTGACCAAAGGAGGGACAAACCATGAATCAGCCAAAAGATGTTGCAACAGGTGAGGGACTTCGAGAATCTGCTGCTTGATCATAAAGCTAGGGTTGGTAGGCCTGGAAAA